ATTTCAGGTCCCTATCTGCTGATTTACTCCGATATACATGATCACCTTGCAAAAATCTCTTGCCTTCTGATCACGTGTAATGGTCTTTTTGAAAATAATAGTATATAGATGCAAAATGGAGTATTAACTTGCAGTTGCGAGAACAAAAAAAAAATGTAACATAATTTAATTGCAGGTACTCTTTTTTGGAGTTGGACATTTTGTGCTTGAGGTAAAAGTGAGATTGTATCAAAAAAGAACTAGGAATGTTGATTTAGAGCACAATCATGCTATTGAGTTAGGTCACAAATTCATAATTTTACGTGTATAGACTAATTTTCCCCTTATTTAAGTGGAAGGTTGGAGTTTTTAGACGCGTGCCTTCAAAAATGAAGCTGTACAGGTCTGCTTAGGATTTGAATAAGAGCACAAGGTGTAGAATAAGAGCACAAAGTGTAGTTGAATTATGAAGCTATCTGATGTATAAAATTAACTGTTGTATAGGACTAAGTGATGCTCAGTGAACGAGGGGAGAATATATATAAGAAAGTGAAGGGACATCTGACTAGGTTCATTAAGGAAATAGTTACTATAACTGCTGCATCCAAATGGTTAAGTAGTGCAGAAACCTTTTTCCCTGTTTTTCTCAATATAACAATAGATCAGGTATAATTTGGCCATCTTTCCTTGTGATATACTTTCTCCATTTGAGAAGTCTTTGCAGTTTCCCCCTATTTGCTACAGTTACTAAGGATTCCCTATTTGAGACCTAGACACAATTTATACATGCTATGATGCTCATAATCTGCTTCAAAAATGTTGTTTCAAATAATTCACACCGTTAACTAAATTATATTTTCTTTCGCAGATATAACTAGAGGTGTCAAGCTGAGTTTGAACTGCAAAATTTGTGATGCCCAGCATGTTTTCGATCTTCAGCTGACACTAAAATTCATCTCTTTTATAGTTGCTCAGTTTCAGCTTGACCAAAACCAGTAACATTGTAAGTTAAATCATCCATGGTCTACAGTTCATTGCCTACAATAACATGGTTCAAAGTGAGCTCTTGGTTGGCTTGTCGCCATTCAGGATAGCACTCTCTCACGTCAGTTTTATGGTTATTTCATCGGGAATCAAACCGGGAGTATTTGGATGTTGAATGATTCATCTAACAATTAAGATTTTGGGATGATATCTATATCATTGCACATGTATGTGATGTGCATTATTGGAGTTTAGACAATTTACTTCTAGATGTAGGCTGCTCATTTTTTTCATGCCATTCATCCGCTGTATCACATTTTATATAACATCTCATGTCCACTTTTAACGCCTAGTTTGTAGATTCAAAACTCACAAGCAAGTTACAAGCTCTCTGGAGTGTAGATTGATGGGATAAGTTTTGCGTGTTCAAGATGAATGTTGAAACTGAGAGTCTAAAGCACCAGTTTCTATATTGTATGATTTCGACCAAGTTGTCTTCTAATTTCACATTCTTTTGTTAATTATGGAGAAATTATTGAGTGTACTAGGTGCTTGGGGACCAGGCAAGAAACCAAATAGGAGACTACTGAAATGCCGAAAATATTTGTTCTTACACTGCTTTACTTTTCTTTTGTTAAGGTGCATATATGTGAGGTAACGCTAAATAATTTCTTATAGAAGAGTATCAGCAAATTATTGAAATTTGGGATGGTTTTGCAGATTGGCGCAAATTAGGGTTTTATGTTACAGGGGTATGAGCACAAGCCTGAGCAAGTAGAAGATTCATCAGATACATTTAGTAAAGTTTGGTTTTTTATTAGGATTTTTTGAAGGAGAAACATATATGGAGGAGGCTATGAAGAGCTAGGTCGCTAGTTTTGGAAGAATTTTTTTGTGGGCTGAAACAAGATTCTCAAGTATTTACTATTACCTTGTTTGTTATTTCCAAGAGAACAGTTTCTGTGGGTTCCCGTATGAGCATCATTATAAAAGCGTCCAGTTATTATATGTCGATTATTTGATATTTGCTAGAAGAGCTTTGCTACAGGAACCCAAAATATGGGACCAACAGGGGGGGACAAGTGAAGGGTCCTATTATGTAATAGGAGGAGGACACCTCACATGTCCTCCTGTTGGTCCCATGTTTTGGGTCCTTGGGGAATTTTTCTTGCTAGAAACAACTCCTTGGATTGTGGGTGAGTTCAAAGAGAGCATGGCTTGAGAATGAGATGATCAATGTGTTTATGTCTTATTTATCTTTATGATGTTGGATTGGTTAGTGGCTGCATTAACTCTCCTAAGCGAATTCGTTTTCGGGCACCAAAATGGATTTTGCGCTATTTTACGTCGTTATACTCTTGACTGGTGTGTTGATGATTGAGGAATGCTCTAGGCAATGTAATTTTTTTTCAGATGATATTCCATTCATGTGGTTTTCAGAGATGGAAGGGTTGATGTTTATAAGAAGAATTTAACAAAATGGTGGATGTCTGAAATATAATTCTTTATATTCTTCTTGACTTCGTAGAAGATGGTCAAAAAACCAAAGATGAGAGACAAAAAAGTGCCCAATTGCATTTTACTCAATTTGCTAAGATTTGAAAGCTAACCTCAATTCTTCTTGACTTCGTGTCGACCTTTATGGAAAGCACCAGTTGGTTGTAGCTCATTTGGGCTATCAAAATGTTGATATCGGTTCACAGTTGGGAGGCCCACTTAATTGATTCCTTGGACCTTGGGCTCTGCACTTGTCAGGTTACGTCAACTGAGTTTCTCCTTTCTAGGTCTGCTGTAAGGCCTGTTTGGTTATTTCCTAAAAAACCAAAAAATAGAAATGAAAACCAAGAAATTTCAAAAAATACAATTTCACACATTTCCATTCCTAAAACTCACCCACAACATCTAATAAAATATTATTTTTATCCAACAACTCATCCATCACATCCACCACATCCAATAAAATATTATTTTCATCCACAACATCTCTCAACTCATCTCATCTCATATTTAAAAATCACTCACATCATCCAATAATATTGTGACAACTCATCTCATCTCATTAACATTTTATTTCTTTGTTTTCCTCTCAAAAAACTAGGAAAATAATTTCCTTAAGTGTAAGTCACATCATCCAATAATATAATGACAACTCATCTCATCTCATCTATTTTCTTATTTTTAAGAAATAACCAAACAAAAAAACAACCTAATACAAGAAATAGGTTTTTTATAATTCATTTTCTTATTTTTTTCGCCAACCAAACAACATCAAAACAAGTTTTCTTAAAAAATCACTCGCATCATCCTATAATAAGGTGACAACTCATTTCATCTCATCTCCATTTCTTTGATTTCCTTCTTTTTTTAGCCAACCAAACAATCCCAAAACCTATTTTTCTTAGAAATAGGTTTCTTTTTCTTTGATTTCCCTCTTTTTTTATGCAAACAAACAGCCCCTTAACTCAAAAACTATTAATCTTTCTGTTTGTGAATATTAAGAATATGCGGATACAGTTTAAAGCTCAGGGGGTTTGTGAGGCAAACAAAAGTTCAAGTGCTGTGAGATTAATAATTTTCATGAGGATTATGTTACAAACTCAAAAATATTTCTGTCTGCGGTTAGGGCACGGATACTATGGAACGTAGTTATACATACAGATATATATAGTGAAACATTCTTATTTTACATTCGAAATATTTGAATACATGCTGGTTACATAGTTGAAATTGTTTTTAAATTTTAGATTAATGAATTTGAGGTTAGTATTAAATTTCAAGAGCTAATCTTAGATTTTTTAGATGTAACAAACACATTAGTGATTTTGTTGTATCATATTAATTTTTTTTTTTAAATCTCACATGATTATCTCATATTTTTATGGAATTTTTTTTAAAAACAACTCATTTCCTAAAATAATTGTAAAAAAACGATCTCTTTGAAACTTATTTGCCAAAAACAACCCAGTTTAAGCCAACTGGCGGAAACTGGATCGTTTTTAACAAAAAAAAAACCAAACTTCACGGGACTTGAAGCCCCGTGAATATTTTTGGTATTTTTTCCACCAAAAACGATCAAGTATCAGTCAATTGGCTGAAACTGTGTTGCTTTTGGCAAATAAGTTTTAAACATGTTATTTTTTATGAATAAGTTTAGAAATGATTGCTTTTTAAATTTTATTCTATTTTTATTGTATCATTCATTCATATATATATATATATATGTTCGATTTTTGCGTATATACGTATCGGCGTCCATGTTTATAACGGTGATTGTTAAAAAGAAATACGGATGTGATAAGTATCATATCATGAAAGTATCCTTATCACTGTGCCCCCAACTACTGTGTGCATCACACCGCATCCCCGCAATCACGAACCGCAGAGGATCGGTAGGCTCGAGACACGAAGCCGACTGCTTTAGCCCGCTGTCTCCTCGTACCTCGGTCAAATACCACCTCTTTTGTTCGATTGCGGTCTCTTGCGTCCGTCACGGGGAGAAGCCGCTATCAGGACTGGCGCCAACGCATCCAGCTTCGCGGGAAACGAAACAAATATCTCCCCCTTCCAACAAATTTTATTATTATTATTATTATTATTTTGGTTCCACCGCGGCTTACGACCGACAAGCAGTACACTGCCCACGTGAAAAGCTTGTGCTGTGCACATGCTATTTTATCTTCGAAGTTATAACAATTTCACTCGCTTCGTATGTTACGTGCTTTTACTTGTTTTTCACTGTATTTACATGTTCTAAGTTGTTATTAGTACGTTCTATTATGCTATGACGAAAGTTTTTTTCACGTTTATATAAGGGGTTGTTTGCTTGCTAAAAAAAAAAAGAGAAAACCCATGTCACTTCAGATTTTAAGAAATCCCTCCTTGTCACGTAGGATTTTGGTTTCAACTGATTTTCAAATCACATGTTTGTTTCGTTTTGTGATTTAAATGAATAGGGGTGCCACGTAGGATGTCATGTCAGATTTTTGAGAAAGAATTTTTAATTACTAAAAGCACTGTTAAAATAGTGACCGTGAATAAAACAGATTATTTAATTGATGAAAAAACACTGTTACTATTGCGACTGATTTCCATTTCCTTTTTTTTATGTTCAAACAAACACAATAAATGAAAATCAAAACACTGTTACTATTGCAGCTAGATTTGTTTCTTATGTGACATGACAGTGATTTCATTACGAACCAAAAAAAAAAAATGTGAAAAATATCTTGAAGGCCTTGACTTGCTAATTCTAAACAACTTGAGTTATATGAATGCTACGAAAAAACCAACGGAAAAATATAAATGTAAAGTGAGTGAGACTATAACTTATTGAATTGCTAATTAGCCTAAAAAGATTCCTTGAGCTATGAGCCTATGACTATTATTATTATTAAGCTGCAAATATTTTTTTTTTTTTTTTTTTTTTTAAAATTTTTTTTTTTTTTTTTTTTTTTTGAAAATTTTGTCATCTATTCTGGTGCACCGCGGTATCTCCTCTCTGATACCCCCGTCACATGACTGACTTAAGACCCAGATCAAACCCGCACCCGATTCGAATTGGACCCGAACCCGAAACGTTCCCGCGCCCCGTTTTTAAATGCTCCCACGTTTTCCCCATCAACGACCCCTCCAATGGGGTCCCGACACGTCACACTGTGCGTTACGCCGTTGTCGTGCCCCCAACAACTCGTGTTAAATTCAAACTAACGAGTCGCGTGCGGACAGCTAATGATCGCACGTCTCGCCCTTGATTAGCATTCATTAATGATGGTCGCTAAGACGAGGAATATTCGGATTTTTAATTCAAGATTCCGGCCCCACCCCTCCGAGTAGGCGCCACGCTGGAACGAGCTATAATGTCCCATTTGTCCACAAAAGTCAATGTTTAATAAATCCGCGCATTGCACGGGCCCAAAACTAATATGTTTTAGATAATATCGATAAAAAAAAAACTACGTCCACTGAGCGGCTCAAAAAAAAAATACTTACCACGAAGCAAAGCTAGTGGCAATCGAAGTTTTGTATTTTTTTTTTTTTTTTTTTTTTTTTTTTCCCCTTTTTGAGAACGCCACTGCGTGATGGCGATTGAAGGAGATTTTTTTTTTTTTAACAGAAGGATGAAATTTTAATTAGCACGAGCCTCGTAAACTTATTCTTGAAGGCTAAGCTAAATGGCCCCATTTGTTACCGGCGTGCCACGTGGCCTGAGGGCAAAAAAGAATCCAATGCCCCCAGCTAACAAATCTACAGCTCACGAGCCTTTTTGTAGCACGGTATTAGTTTAATAAACCAACCCGTGGAGCACTTTACACTAGCTTTAACCCCAAGCAAAACCAATCCTTGAGTTGGTCACCAGCTACTTACTATCCCTCCTACGTGGCAATAGGCGCCACGTAGAAGAATGAGGAAAAATATATCACATTTAAAAAAAAAAAAAAATTTGTTTTAAACCCATTTCAACTTTTTTTTACCGAAATCGACCGACTCCTTTTTATTTAGCAGAATTGACCCGCTTCTCGGCCACGTTGCTGACGTGACCGAGAAGTGGGTCGATTCCGCTAAATAAAAAAAAAGTCGATCAGTTTGTAAAATAAAAAGATGGAATGGGTTTAAATCAAAAAATTCTTAAAAAAAAACTTAACCTAAAACCGCATAGAAAGTTGCGAGTACGTGTCTCGTTATGGCGGCTAGGGTTTTGCCAATTGCCACTGTGGGAGGGTGGTTACGCCCCCTGCTCCGTGGGTCCTAGGTTTAAATATAATGATAGCTTACGCAAGACGTCCTTAATCAAGATTCATCTGTTATTAAAACAAAAAATAGAGTCTAATTATGTGAAATTTTTTAACCTTATATATGCCTATTGGTTGTGGGTGCTTCTACAGGAACCCAGATTGGGGGGACAGGTGAGGTGTCCCCTCTTCAGTGGCAGAGCCACATGAGACTTGCCCAGGGGAAAATACAAGGGGATGTTGAGCTTGATGCATTCACTTACAACATGGCGTTCTATGCAAACAAGGGCTGATGGATAATGCTACCTAAGATTTACTTTTTGCAATACCTATACTTGCATTATCTTTGGTCATTCTTTTCGAGGGCAATGCAGAAAGAAGCTATGAGCACTATAACAAAATGCACTTCGCTCAAAGCTAGGTTTTGTACTGACTCTGACGACGGGGGAGCAGGAGGACGAGGCATCTCTTTCACCGATGTTTGCGCCTTGGGATTCATCGCCAACCAGGATTATTTTTTCGCCCAGGGTAAAAAAAAATCTTGGCTACGTCATTACCCCCTTAATTGCATAATGAGCTGGCCATGACCAGCTCATTATGCAATTAGAGTGGGGCACCTAACTATCTGTCCCATTTTCGGGTCCTTGAGTCATTTTTCATTGGTTGTTAATGTTGATACACAATTATTAAATTAAACTGTTATTCATTCAAAAAATTTCGGGTATATACCGCCAATCAGTTAACTACCGTTAAGCTAACTTGTTACCCCCTCTAATTAATAATTAATTAAAAACAGTGGTTTTCTCGGACCATAAATACGACAGAGTCCTCACCCCGAAGGAAACCGCAACGGCGTTATATCCCAAATTTGAAAAAGAGAGAGAGAGAGAAAACCCACCTCAAATCTCGTGCTCTCACTTCCAACTCACAAAAATCGACTCGATTCGATTCAACCAAAGCTAATCTTGGATCCATCGATTTCGTTATTTCCTTCAAAATTTAACCAAACCCTAGGCCTCAACGAGATCATCACCAACTAGAGCTCCGAGTTTTGCGGATCGAGAGGTTGAAGGCGATGGAGTGGACCTCTTCCCTAGATGAATACCAAAAGCTCGTCATCCGCATGAACACTCCTCGGTAAAATCAAGAGAGAGATCAAAGCAGAGAGAGACCACCTCAAATCTCGTGCTCTCACTTCGCAACTCACAAAAATCGACTCGATCGATTCAACCAAAGCTAATCTTGGATCCATCGATTTCGTTATTTCCTTCAAAATTTAACCAAACCCTAGGCCTCAACGAGATCATGCACCAAGCTAGAGCTCCGAGTTTTGCGGATCTGAGAGGTTGAAGGCGATGGAGTGGACCTTCTTCCTCTAGTATGAATACAAAAGCTGGTCATCCGGCATGAACACTCCTCGGTAAAATTCAGACAAAAACATGAAATTTCCATATTCCCCCCCCCCCCCCCCCAAACCTTTTGTATTTAGTTGGATTTTTGTTGGTTGCAGAGTGGTGATCGACATGGGCGGCGTGCTCGACGGCGACGATTCGTAAAGTCGACAGCGCTCGAAGCACGGGCCTCCACCTCCGAAGCGGTTCGGGTCTTATCGGATCTCACCTCTGGATCCGCAAAAGCCTACATCTCCTCCGACGGCCGATGGTTCATGGACGCCTTCCACGTCACGGCATCACCTCGGCCGCAAGCTCGCCGACGACCGAGTCATCGCCTACCTCGAGGCAGTCTCTCAACGACTCCGATCTCGGACTCAGATCCGATTCCTTGCCGCTGATCTCGAGCTCACCGCGCTCGAGCTCACCGGCACCGACCGCCTCGGCCTCTTGTCGCGAGATCTCGCCGTTCTCGCCGACCTGAGGTGCAGCATCGTCGAAGCTAGGGTTGGGACCGGACGCCGGCCCGATCGCCGCCGTTATTTCCTCAAGGACGTCGAATCTGGATCGCAGATCGAAGGATTCGAGAAGGATGACGGTGATAACTTCGAGCTGAGAAACGTTCTCAACAGAGTGCACGATCTCAAGGGGAGCGAAGGACCGCCGTGTCTCCGTATCGCCGTCGGCCACGCCGACCGAGACCCACCAGATATGAATGTTCGCTGAAAGAGATTACGAGAGAAAATTTGGGGATGAATCGAAGATTTCCGTTCAAAACTGGATCGAGAGGGGGTACTCTGTCGTCGGCGTTCAGTGCCGAGATCGAGCCAAGCTCCTGTTCGATGTCGTTTGCACGCTCACGGACATGAAGTACGTCGTGTTTCACGGCACGATCGACACCGATGCCGATCGAGCTCATCTGGTACTAATTTTCTCCTCGGATCTCTCTAAATTTTTCTATTTTTTTCGCAATTTTTTGTTTAATTCTTTCTTTTTTTACTTTTTTACAGGAATTTTACATAAGGCATTTAGATGGGACTCCAATAAGCTCAGAAGCAGAAAGACAGCGAGTGATTCAGTGCTTACAAGCCGCAATCGAACGCAGATCATCCGAGGTAAATAAAATTTTAAAAAAAAATCAAAAATTTACCAAATTCAATCACATTTCAATTCAAAAACCAATTTAACCCACACCAGTAACTTTTGTTTCAGGGTGTAAAACTAGAACTATGCACAGTGGATCGCCAAGGTTTGCTCGCTGACGTCACCCGAACTTTTCGAGAAAACGGGTTATCGGTAACGAGAGCAGAGGTCTCAACAAGGGACTCAACGGCGGTCAACACATTTTACGTGACGGATTCGGCCGGTCACCCGGTCGATCGGAAAACAGTCGCGTCGGTCATCGAGAGGATCGGACCGGACCGGCTCAAGGTGGTCGAGGACCGGGTTCGGAGGGCAAAAACCCCCCGGGCTGAAGAAGAGGGCGGCGTCAACGTTGGGTTTAATTACTTGGGCAATTTGGTGAAGAGGAATCTTTACAGTTTGGGACTAATTCGATCCTGCTCTTAGACCCAAACCGTCGCATACAAATCTTATCAGAACACTTTGTATGGTTCAGAACATCCTGTACATACACGCGGGTCTGTTGTAATTTGCATGTATTGTACATACGAATAGTAAATGGATAGGGAGAAAGAATACGTAAGATTTGTAGTATGTACATATACGGACTTGGTGTTAGTCGTAGGCTAGTAGCACAAGTGTTAATGTTTGACTTTTGTCTTTGTCATCAAAAGATCTTTTGTGATATATTTGGTTATGTTGATTTATTTAGTGAAAATTTCGTGGTACTGTTTGTGGGTCAATGAAGATGACATATTAGCGAACTTTCACCGGCTTCGGACCTAACATTTTATCTGCTGTTTGAATCTGAGAGGTTGGGAGGCGCCAACTATGGTCGTCGACTAGAATTGTAGGTTTCTTCTAGTGAGAGCTTAAGCTAAGCGTGCTGATATTAGTAATCTTTCCATTGAAATTACAAATTAGCCGCTAGAAAAATTAGAATGAATATAATTCAGTAGGTTTGGTATTATTTATATTTGAAAAAATGTATAGCCAATCTGAATGTTGATACTAGGGTTAATTGCGGATAGACCCCTGTAATTCTATTGGTGCGGGTAAATTTATTTAGAGATTCTACCCACGCTTTAGCAAACAGTATATAGAGTCTACACATGATTAACTGTAGATGATATCTTTGATGAGAGATCGTAATAGTCTGGTTTGCTTATTTTTTTTCTATAAAAATGTTCACTGATGAAAATAGGAGGTCATTTTGGAGTGCCCTCCTTTTAAAATTGAGGTCTTATGGAGGAGTCCTTTGTTTTGGAAACTATGGGGGTTGACTTTATGGCAAACAGTATATTGAGGTCTTCATTTTCTATATTGTGGAAGAAAATGAAAGAGACTCAAACATCAATTGATCCTTGATTGGTTGACTGAAATAGAAAATTAGATAATTTTTATGTCTCCCTTGAGCCTTGCTGCCTTGCACAACTCAGGAGCGTCATATGACGTCTTTTGCTGAACAATAGTTTGAGCTTTCACTGAAATGAATTGTTTTACAAGTCCAAAGTTTTTTTTTCTTTTATGTTCATATATTTCTTAGGGTTATATTGCAACTCCAAAGTGTCCTGATGTATGTTGCATGTCATTCAAACGTTTATTTTTTGCTCATTTGATGCCTCCAACCAAGTTTTGCCCGATTTGAAGTTTATTTTTATCAGGTTGATACCCGAAGCTTCCGAAAGTTGAACTTTGGCACCCTCGATTTGGGGACCGCTTTTTTTATTTTTCTGTTAAATTCTGAGAGTTGTTCTACAGGGACCCCAAATCATGGATCCAGTGGGGGACAGATGATGTGTCAACCCCTGGGTGCATGATCTAGAATAGTAGATCATGCACCCAGGGGTTGACACCTCACATGTCCTCCCTTGGGTCCCATGATTTGGGATCCCCAAGGAAATTTTCAAATTCTAATCATGCGTTTTAACAGGTGATCTGTTTGGACATTTAGGGGCTGTTTGGTTTTGGTTTTTGGATGGGTAAAATGGGAGAAAGCTGTCAAAAATGTCAGCTTTTTGGCAGCTTTCCCCCAAAATCACCTCTTATATATGTGGTGATTTTGGGGGAAAGCTGCCAAAAAGCTAACATTTTTGACAGCTTTTCCCTCTTTTACCCATCCAAACAGCCCCTTACATCTCTCTAGTCATTATAATTTCTCTTGAAGTAAGTGGAACTTGTCAGCCTTATAGTCACATATCATGTGTCTCTTTTTAGATGTTTAAATTAAAAATTAGAAAAAATCGAATATTTTGTGAGCTAGATTTCATGATACCTTTATAAACACGAAAGAACATAATTAATATTTGTATAATACGAGCAATCTTAACATAGCCCTGAACTATCTACTTAGGATAAGGATGCATGTCCATGTACCATAAGGAGGGAATTTACATATGACTAAATCTCTCTCTTTTGTTCCAACCAAAAAAGAAAAAGAAAAAATAAAAAGGGTCCCTCCTTTTAAAGAACAATTTCAAAAACAATAAAATTTGTGAAGTAATACAATCAGGAGTTGACCAAGCTAATAGTTTTAGCCTTTTTGCTGACGTGTATCGACGTTCGAAGAAAAAAAAAAAAGAAATCGCGGCTGAAATTTGTGGAAACCAATGCTTACAATGACAAATCCACCAGTTTTAGTGCCTCATCCCAACTAACAAGGAGGGAACATTCATTCACTGAACTTATCACGGCATGCAATTAATTAACAAATTGATATTCTTTTGATGATTTAGGCTCTGTTTTCATGCTGCAGTTCAAGCCTTTAAAGAATGGGTTAATTTTTGAAAACTCCCCCTTAACCATGGGGGGTGTATTACGAAACCCCCTTTATCTTTCTATTTTTTTATATAACCCCTAATATTATTAATATGAAATATGCAATGATTAAAATACCCTTTGTTGAAAAAAAAATCATATCAGTTTAAAAACCCAACCCAATCAAAATATTAGACTTTGGTTCGATGGGTTTTGATGAGGAAACTAAACTTCAAAAAAAATTTAAAAGTTTCAGTTGTTTCAGACATTATAAGCATGGATAAGAAGAAAATAAAAGAAGTATAATGTTTCGAAAGAGGGAAAAAATTAGATTTGCATGGAAAACTAACAATGAAGATGGAGGAATGAGAAGAGGGGGAAATTTAAAAAAAAAAGTTATTTTAACCCAAAAAGTTAAGAAGGAACACTATGGTAAAAAAATTTAATGTCTTAGGGCTACTAGGGTCATTTTAAATCATTTGTTCCTTTAGATTTAAATGATATTAGTTTAGGGGGTTAAGTGAGAAAAGTTAGTGGGGATAAATAATATTTTAAAAGTTGAAGGGGGTTATCTACAATAACTCAATAAACAAGGGGAGTTTTCTATAGTTAAAATAGCTGAGAGGGGTTTTCTGAGACGGCCCCCATAGTTGAGGTTTTTTTTTTAAAATTAACCCTTAAATAATCTCTCTTTGCTTTGGATAATGTGGTCATCATAAATGCATTTGTAGCTTTATTTCATTTCTCTATGTTACTCAAAAGAGCTTTACTACAGAGACCCATAATATGGGACTAATAGAGGGGACAAGTGAAGTGTTCCCTTCCTATTGGATAATGAGATGATCATCATTATCCAATAGGAGGGGGACACCTTACTTGTCCCCCCTATTGGTTCCATATTTTGGGTCCTTGGGGAATTTTTCTTACTCAAAATTTCCCTAAACATGCCATGAGACATCTCATTAAGAGTTATATCTCTCCGACGCGCATTTAATATCATAAACTAAGTCTATTGGATACATTTCCCCTCCAAAACCTTTTTGAGTTGTTGTGAAATCTTAGGATGCTTTCATTCCTCTGTTAACACCCGATTAGTAGACAAAACATCATTAATTAGCAGCTCCCTCTTTTGCTTTACCTAGTTTACATAAAAAGTTCACAAAGGGATTAAATTTAAAGTTCTATCAAACAACCCTAATCAAAAAGATTTTGACAGCACTAAAAGCATGTGAACCTCGATAGCTTAATTTAAATTGAAATGTGGTTAGAAACTAGAGCATATGTTTATCCCGTAATCACCTTTAGGTTAAATTTGATTATCAAAGGAATCATATCGTTTGTATAATCATATAGCCAGTTAAAAAGCTTGTGGTTGACCTTGTTAGCACCGTAATTGAGAATTTTAATGGCTCAAAATAGAGAAAATTTCTGATTTAGGGGCAACAATAAAAAAAATCATTATAGTGTTTAT